TCATCAAGACGGCTTCCCGCAGCCCCCCTTGCAATGACACGGCGCACCCCCTAGGGGGCGCGCCCCACAGTTTGGGAACCTCTGAATTAGGGAAAGAACTACCGTTAACAGATGTGGTTCATGGGTTCGGACACCGGCGGGGCTACTCCGATTGTCTGAATCATGGGCAGAAGCGGGGCATAACGTCTGGATGTAGGTAGTTAGAGCTTAGACGAATCTTTCCCGCGCCCAGCTTAAACAAAAGTTCTCTAAATTCTTATCTGCAGTAATACTCGGGAATTAGAGGCTTTTCGGACCCGGGAGATGAAGAGCTGGTCTGTAGTCAGTCTGCTGTAGAGGGGAGGAGTTAGGGGCGTGGCTGAATACTGTGGATTAACAGAGGAAATGTGATTTACAGTAAAAGTCAGACCGTTACATCATTAATGACATCACTAATGACATCATTAATGGTGGTCACCAGGTGAAGAAGACGTCTTGCTGCCATCTTGCTCTGCTTGGTTGTTTCTGGTTTCACTTTTTTTTATGATGATGATGATTAACGCTCATAAAAACATTGAACATGTTTCAGAAATATTGCTGATGCTTTCTGACGTCTTACTGGGAACCAGAGACCCTGAAATGTTTGTCCAGTCTGTCTGTGACAGGAAGTGTGTGTCTCCATAGCGCTGGCTGCCATGGCAACACAGCTGATTCCTCCTACTTGGTGGTTTTGAACCGTTTTAGGGTGAAAACCTGTTTGTTTGGCTCACCATGACCTCCAGTCTCTCTACCGGAGTATCTGAGGAGTGGCTCTCCATCATCATCATCATCATCATCATCATCATCATCACTGTGATCATACTAGAGAGGAACTGCCGGGAGTGGCCCAGTGGTTTATGGCCCCTGCAGAGACCAAAGTCCTGCTGATAGAGGCTCAGGCTTCAGATTAGCTGAAGGAGAGGCATCAGGACGCTCTGACTTCACGCCAAAGGTTTCACCTCTCAGGACTCGCTGCTCTGACTTTCTGCCTTCAGGCTCCAGCAGAGGCTCCTTCAGTCCCAGATCATCTTTAGAACTTGGATTTCTTCTTCTTTTCTTCATTTTGAGAGGTTTTCCAGAAACGCTGCGACCATGTCGACGGCATTGGAGGCAGTGGGGTTCGTCATGTGCATGATTGGCTTCCTGGTCACCGGCGCGGCGCTGGCTAACGACTACTGGAAGATCTCCTCGGTGTCCGGCAGCGTCATCGTCTCTCAGAGGGAGTTCGAGAACCTGTGGCACGCCTGCGCCGAGAACAGCGCCGGCATCGCCAACTGCCGAGACTTTGAGTCCATGCTGGCCCTCCCAGGTAAGATCAGAACCGCTGGAGAACCCAGACCCAGACCCAGGACCAGACCCAGAACCAGGACCAAGACCCAGGACCAGACCCAGGACCAGGACCCAAACTAGCTGTTTACTTTAGACACAAGTTTTAAAGTCTCTCAGTGAAAAGCATAAGAAAACATTGAAATTAGACGTTTGTACCAGATTCTACACATTAGGTCGTTTTCTGGCCGGTTATTTGCTGCTTTAGGTTAATGAGCTGAAATGAGGAACGGAGGTAATTAGCTTCATCGCTAAAGTAAATCTGTCCTCAAATTTACTGTTGAGTTTGTTGGTGGATTTTGATTCCTGAATAAATGGTGAGCTGACAGGAACCAGGTCAGTTTGAACAAAGAGGCAGCAGGTCGACGGTCCAAAGGTTGGGGGATTTCAGAGTCTGAAGCTTCCCGCCCAAAACTGAAAGATTAGAGGCTGGTTTGTCATTTTGTCTCAACTAAAAGGCCAAATAATCTCAACAAAGTCAGACTTTTAAATAAAATATTAAAATATGCTTTTAGTTGTTCTCTCCATCATCATGGAGAAAGACGGGTCGGTTTTCTTTTGGACGCCATTTTGAAGGTTTTCCCTGCTGGTTGTAAAATGGAGGGAAGTGAAGAAAAAAACAACTTGAATATTTAATAGTCAAATATTTAGGCTGTAAAACATATTAAATGTGTTTAACATTTAAACCATCATTAATTCATAAAGTTATTCTGAGTTTTTATCAGAAGACATGAAATGAATCTTGGCTCCTGTTCCCACATTTAGCTGAAAGCTCTTACAGTTTTGGGGAAACTTACATAAATTCACCTGATTTTTCAGAAATGCTTTGAAACGACATGAAGGCTGTTGGAAACCAAACGTCAACATTTCTCCCCTGAAACTCTCAGCCGGTCGTAAAAAGGCGCGGCGGTTTTTATGATCAGCAGATCAATTTATTGCTGCAGCAGCAGTAATTTATTGCTGCAGCAGCAGTAATTTATTGCTGCAGCTGCAGTTCCTCCTACTTTACTTCAAAGACAAACAGAGTTAAAGTCAGATTCACACAGAATTAAAGACATTTCCTTCATTTAAACAAAAGGAATCTAAAGACTCAATGACTTTCACTTTTTATAGATTAAACTGGAAACAGAAATAGCATAAAAATCAAACATATTTCATTATTTACCTTGATTTGCTGATATCTGTATTTTTATAGTCCAGATATACTATTTATTTTTTATTGTTGAAAGAGAAACCAAAGTGATGAAACATTTAATAGTCATTATTTTGAAAGCATAGAGTAATTCAAATGGATCTCAAACAGGAAATATACCAAATTTTACTTATTTTTGTTTTTATTATTAGTTTCTAATAAATAAACTGACAGAAAACACAAATCAGATTAATCAAATTTAGACACAAAGCCATTATTATATCTATTAAAAGGTTGACATTTGTATGACAATTTGTCACTTTAAACAGATTTTATATTTTCCGTCATAATTTTTAGCTTCAGTTGTTTTTAGAAAATGTTTTTGTGACATAATGATAGTTTATTGTAGAACAGCATCCTCAGTGTGTGTGTGTGTGTGTGTCTGTGTGTGTGTGTGTGTTCCTGCAGCTCACGTCCAGGCGTGTCGCGCTCTGATGATCATCTCTCTGCTGCTCGGCCTCGGCTGCATGATCGTCTCTCTGCTGGGACTCAAATGCATCAAGATCGGATCGGTCACCGTGGAGTCCAAGGCCAAGATGGCCGCCACCGGAGGAATCATGTGCATCCTGGGAGGTAAGCACGCACACGCACACACACACACACACGCATACACACCCACCCACA